GCAAGCAAAACCTGCTGTCAACAAGTTTTATCAAAGAAAAACGGCACATCTATAAAATATTTTTCAATCGGTAAAAATTAACCGGATTGATTACAACTCTCCAATGAGTCTTATGTTATTTTCAACAATGTTTACGATTTGTCATACGATGATTACTATGAATAAAAACTACATAACTAATATTAAGTTTAAAATGCAAACTTAACACCAAATTTTAAAGAACTTCATCTTATTAAAAGTTCCATAACATGTTCATTTAAATAGCGTAATCTATTCTATTTCTGATATAAATATTATGGCTTTCAGTAAAAGTCAAGGAACTAATATTTGTTCAAATCTATCGTAATCATTGATTGAATAGTGTTAGCAAAAGAGCAATCCTTCAAATTAAATTATATTGACATAAATAGAACAATTGTCTTAAAGCGTTTTGTTTGACTCTCATTTTGTTGTCAACCGCTCTATTCTTAATAATGCAATTAGATTAATAAAGATGACTTTAAAAAAAAACAAGACTGAAGAGAAATTCTTGTTCGTAGTTACTTTATCTCTAAAGTAAATGCAGCTAGCGCCCTCGTCAAAGTCTTCTCTATAATTGGGTCAACCTATCTATTTAAGAGATTGTGAATGAGTTTCTAGGTTTTTTTGTTTCTTATCAACTCTTATTTGAATTTGTAAGACTCAAAATATTACTTGAACTATCATGACAAATCTTAATGTTATTGAAGCTGTTCGTTTTTATATTATGCGCATGATTGAAGATTGTGGCCAAAATGTAAAAGGATTCGTTATGGATAAAGAAACGGTTTGTCATAATAATAAATATTTTATTAATAATTATAATATTTTATTCAAAAAGGCTTCAATTGTTAGTATGGTTTATGCTCAATCTGAAATTCTTCAAAAAGAAGTTTTTCTTTTCGAACGTATTGATACTATTGGACAAAAATCATTGAAACATTTAACTGCTATTTGTTTTTTAAGACCTACTAAAGAAAATCTTGAAGCATTGACACGTGAATTACATGAACCAAAATATGGAAGTTATTATATTTGTATGTTATTTTTCATATTCTTTCTTTATTTAAAAAGGTTAAGAAGATAAAAAATGAAATAATTTACTTTAGATTTTAGTAATTTTATTGAATACAATTATATTAAAACTTTATCTGAAGCTGATGAATTTGCATGTGTACAAGTTATACAAGAATTTTATGCAGATTATTTAGCAATCAATCGACATTTATATTCACTTAATATTCCAATGACGTATCAAGTAAAATGAAATGAAATAGAATAAATTTGTTTTTAATATCATTTTCTTTTTTGGTATTAGAAACATTATGAATGGAATGATAATCATCTACGTCGAACAGTTCAAGGACTTATTTCATTATTATTTTCATTAAGAAAACAAAGTGCAATAATTCGTTATCAAAAATCATCAAATATGGCACGAACACTTGCTGATAAATTATCTGTAAATTAATAAATAATTCGAATTATAAAATTTTAAAAAATTGTGTTTTTTTTTTTGATAGACTACTTTGATGCGTCAAGCGGATTTTGCTACATCAAATATTAATGATATAAATCAAACAATTGTTTTAATTGTTGATCGACGTGAAGATGCAATAAGTCCATTACTTAATCAGGTTATTCTTCTAATATAATTATTTAAAATATATATATATATATACCTTTTTCTTTTAGTGGACATATCAAGCAATGATCCATGAATTAATTGGTATAAAAAATAATCGTGTGAATCTTAGTCAAGTACCAGGAATAAAAAAAGAACTTGAAGAAGTTATAATGAATGCTGAATATGATGAATTTTATGCAAATGTAAAGGATTTACTTTCATACATATATATATATATATATAATCCTTTTCTTTTGATATTTCTAGAATCTCTATAGTAATTTTGGTGAAATAGCAACGAATATAAAAGGATTAATGGAACATTTTCAAGAAAAACATAAAAGTCAATCAAAACTTGAATCAATTACTGATATGAAGGTTTGATTAAGAAAAAAAACCAAGAATTTTCTTTTCATATATTCATTCTATATGATTCAAACAGAACAAAAACCTTCGATAGACCATTCGGTATAATGTGTACTATACAACTGATAGTTTGACATTGAAACGACGTTATGGCTATCTTCTGATTGCCGTTTAGCCCTGACACATCGATATTTATTCTCTAATTGGCAATCTAATGCCAGTAAACTGTTGGTGCTTAAGAGTACTGCAGTATACTAATAGTTATTCTCTAATTGGCAATCTACCGATGGTATTCCATCGGTTCTTAAGAGTACGGTAGTGTACTGACATTTATTTGCTGACTGACAATCAGCTGCCAGTAAACCTTCAGTTCTTAGGAGTGCTAGAATATACTGATAGTTACTTTCCGACTAGCAATCTAGTGTCGGTATACGGTTGGTTCTTTAAAGTGCTGCAATATACTGAGAGTTATTTTATGACTGAAAATCAGCTGTTGGTAAACCGTCAGTGTGTATGAGTACTGCGTTATGTCAGTCATAGTGCAAAAAAATGTGCGGCATTCAATGTCAAAGATCAAAATGTTGTTTTTCGTCAATAACATGAAACAATTATATTCAGAAATCTAATTTGTTATTATTTCGTTAAACAGAAAACATCATAGAAAGTCATTTGTAAATTCCAAGTCAAAGATAGATTGACTTGATAAGAACATATAATGAAAATCATCTAATTATTTTAGGCATTTATTGAAACTTATCCACAATTTAAAAAATTATCTGGTACTGTATCTAAACATGTAACAATTGTTAGCGAATTATCACGCCTTGTTGGTCACTATCATTTACTTGAAGTTAGTGAAACTGAACAAAATCTTATTTGTCAAAGTGATCATAATGCAATTGTTCCAGTATGTATTTTTAATAGAAAATTCTATTTATTTAATTAAATTTGAAATTAAATAGAAAATAAAAAATTTAATAAAAGATGATAAAATTCAAAATGAAGATATCCTTCGACTTTTATGTTTATATGCATTACGTTATGAACGTCATGCAAATAATGAATTAGACATACTTAAAAATGAAACACAAAAATATCGACAATTTCCGGAAAAATATATTTATGTAAAATTTATGAATATATATATATATAAAGATAAATTATTAATATATAACTTTTTTTTATTATAATTAGTTTATTCAAGCATTACTTGATTATGGTGGTCAAAAATTTCGACAAGCTGATTTATTCAAAACACAAACAACAATGGCTATAACACGACAATTTATACGAGGATTGAGAGTATGAAAAGAATTTTACAACTCTTTTATGTACATATTTATACAGATGTGTATATTTTTTAGGGTGTTGATAATGTTTATGCTCAACATGCACCATTAATAAAAGATTTACTCGAACAATTATTACGCGGTAAACTCAAGGATACATTATATCCGAGTGTCATCTCAAAAGATCAAATAATGCAAAATAATCGTCATACAACAAATCAACAGAATCAATTACAGCAACAAGGACAACAAACAAAGTAAAATATTTTATCTATCTATATGTACATATAAATTCCAATTTCCGTTGGAATCTGTTGTAGACCAAGTGAAATTATTGTTTATGTTATTGGTGGTATAACATATGAAGAATCATTTCATATTCATATGATGAATGAAAAAAATGCACGAATTTTACTTGGTGGTTCTTATGTACACAATTTTTCATCATTTATTGATGAAGTAATTACTGGAACATCATCCAATTTATTTGTTGAATCGAATGAATTACTTACAGCAAAAGGCCGTTAGCTATATTTTTATTTTGTTATATATATATATATATATATATATTAATTTTTTTTTAATGTTATGAACTCTTAATTTTATATCTATTGAAAAGAAAATATATTTATATATTTGATTATAAGTAAATCATGAAAAGAAACATAAAATTAGATCTATTGATAAGATAACATCTCATTGATTATGAACAGATAGATAGATAGATAGATAGATGTGATGCATGAAGGATGACGAGTTTTCTTTTTTTTTCTTGTTTTTTTTTTGGTATATAGAAGAAGACGAATAGGGAATTCTAGGAAAAAAAAAGAGAGATTGTGAATTGTGCTTCGACATTTTCGCTCTTATGATTGAACGGTTATTGTCGTCGTCGTTATTGTCATCTTTTAACAAAGTAATAGAGCAGAAAATGGTTCCGATCAGTCGGCAATAGATCAAATAGTATCAAGTAAGTATTCAATGACTATTACATATGTATATTTGATGTCATTAAACCTTGGATATATTAGAACAGGTTCATGTTCAAAGAAAAGAAAAAAAAAAGTAAAAGTATATTTGCCTTTTCTCTGTCACTTCATGGATAAATGTATACTTTAGTTTGCTTCTATCCCTTTCTCCATTCTCAATGATATCGGCAGTTTAGAATATTGTCACTATAAGAAAGAAGGCTGTACTGTAACGATTAACATGGGCAGTAAGTAGGCGAGCGTGAAGAGCAGAGAGACGACAAAAAAAAGGGTCTCATATAACGCGTGTGTGCTTAATGAGATGCTACTCTTGCGTTCTTTCTTTCTCTCTTGGTAGTTAACGGCAGACAAAAACAGAAAGGCATTTCTATTGCGATTGCCTGTTGTCGAGCATCCCAACTACAGTACGATCAGTTGAAGACGAAGATAAGGAAAATCTTTTTTTCTGCTCGTTTCTGCGTGTGTGTGTGTGTGTATATCGCGTCCTTCTTCCTCTTCTTCTTCTACTTCTTCTCGTTCTTTGGTTTCTACTAAGCCTCCATGTCTTCTTTAACGTCTGAAAAACAGATAAACAAGACAGAATAGTAGACCTTGTTATTACTGTTGTTGTTAATATTTCCTGGCTTGAAACAATTTTTCACTTGTTGGCATCTTTGTCCATAATCATGTGTTTCATTATTATTAACATCAATCGATAAATTTACTGGCGCTATCATGCAATTATCGGCAGTTTCACCGATAACAAAAACTTATTCACGAACAATGAAGACAACCCATTTATTAATTCGAGTGGGTATTTTAACTATGTAGATAAACATTCTCATTTATTATATATGACAAATTAACATCTGTATATTTACTGACCTTTATCTTAAAACCAGATATATATATACATCATTTACTATTATACTAACAAAGAAAAAACAAAGAGGCTTTAAGTGTATTTTACTTTATATTTATTCAATCCATTGTCTTGAATTTAGAAAAAAAAGAATGATTACATAAATGAAAGATAATTGTACTACTAAGACGAAAAGATTAGTTATTACTTCTTTCATTTCTTTTTTTTTCTTTTAATTGAAGAAGAAATAGTGATCAATTGTAGATCTTTTTATTCACATTTTACGAAATATTTTCATTTTGATTAATTCATTTTCTTACAGGTTGTCTCGAGTGAAACATTTACACGCTTTATAAATCGTGAACCATTCATTTTATTACAACCACAATGTGTCATGCGTGCATTTCAAATATGTATTTATCTACCAACATTATATGATGATCCATGGCTTATATTCAAAGGTAATTTAATTGTGTCTATGTGTGTATATTCATTTTTGCGGTAAATTTCAAATAGAAAAAAAAACGAAATGAAATTTTACAAAAAAATTTTTTTTTTCTTTCTTTTTCTCTTTCAAAGCACCAATAAGATAAATCAAATTTCTGATTTTCAAAACTTCTAACAAAAGATACATTGTTGTATCGTACTTAGAATGTTCTTATATCTTTTTATACGCAATAATATAATAAAAAGTACATTCGCTTTCAACACGTAATGTATTTTCTTGTATTATATCAACATGTCGTAGTTGTATTACGATATAATGATAGATGGATGGATATATATAGATAATAATAACTATTATCTGCTAAAGTTGTTTTTGCTGTAATCTTTAAAATCGGATATCAATCTCACACTGCCTATTTACCATTCGTTTGCTTGTTTGTATCATTGTGGTTCTTTTTCTTCACGTAGCAATTAAAACCCGTTGTCATCTGACGCGATATATCTTCATTTATCGATCATACCGACTAAAAATAAGAATATATATATATAGATTTCTTTTTGTATATGATTTTTCGATCATGTCTCACCTCTATATACTATTTTGTCTTTATGATTTACGACTTATTAGTATTTATTAGTATTATTGATGTCCATTTATGAAGACAGACGTTCAATAAAACTTGTTGTATGTCGTCTAATATCGTTGTTGTTGTTGTTATTAATATCATTTTATTATACATACGGGAGTGATTAATAGTTTGGACTTAGACACTCAAACAAATATATACCAATGATTGGTATATATTAATATTTCTTTCTCCGAAGAAAAAAGAAAAAGAAAAAAAAAACTGACAATATAAGATATCTAGCGAACGTCATATTTTCCTTAGATAAGCTCTCATCATCATATAAAAGATTTGTAGATGATAACACGTAAGTGAGGAGTGATATTCATCAGTCTACAGTAGATATTTAATACTGATTTACGCGAGTATTTTCTATAACATAAATTATAAGAGCAGTTTGGAGTGGCAACATTTTTCATAAAATATACCAATTGATTAACACAACGTAGTTATGATTATGATTAGTACAACAAAACAGCATTGGAATCGTATAACAATACTTTTTCTTATAACATCTATTGTTCAAGTATTTATTGAATATGGTAAGATTTTATTATTGATAAAACAAAAGAGAATAGAATGTTTTCTGTATTTGTTTATTAAAAATTTTGCTTATAAATAGTTTTTTTTCTCGTCTTATGAAATAACGAAGAAAACTCAATAACATGAAAAATTTCTCTGCCAGCTTATAAATCATAGAAACCCATCTATTAATTATAATAGAAATCTGTTCTGCCTTTTATATTATTCTATACTAAAAATATGTTCGGTGTTTTTCTTTTCTCTTTAATTTATTGTAAAAAGACTGATTTAGTTCCGAAAAGCTTTCAAGGTTGTATTTATTTATGTTTCTTGAGAGTATCGACTATTTCTCATAGTAAATTTATGAAAGTATGCAAATCGTACGGACGTATTTATTGTGCAATACTGATAGAACAAACATTCTATGATGTCACATATGATTTTTTTATTACGATAAAAATGACTTTTGATTGATTGCACAGAAATCGTTTGTTGCATTTTTTTACGATGAATAAAACATCTTTAAAAAAAACAACTCCTACGCCTATTGTATGCGACATTTAAATATTCTATTTATGGTATTAAAAACAAACAGATATTTCTAGAATAACATTAAAAGCAATAAATAATCAAATAATAGTATACAGATAAGAGAATATTTATCCTTAACTTTTATCTATACAATACCACGACTGGTACATTTATGTGTAATTAGTTTTCTGTTATGCTTATCATTTCACTTTTACCTTACGGCTATTGATTCATTTAAGAATAGTAACGGTAGTCTAGACTGTCCACATCGCAATATTCCTTTATGTTCATTCTGTAAATTTTACAAGATATCAAATAGATTATCATTTGACTTTGATGGTTGCTAGTGACATTTATTGAATTCGTTGTTTTTTTTTCTTTTTACTGCTCAATTGTTGATAAATACAATTATACATATATCAAGTTACAATATTTTCATATTTGCTTTATTGTCCTTGCGATATTCTAAACTACCGATCGTTCTTTCGAACAATTATGAATTGTTTTTTTTTCTTAATCCTTGTATTCATCTATCCTTTAGTTATATTATAACTAAAAATATATCTATTGTGTTGACTATATATGTTGTCTTCACAGACGAATATCCGTTCTGACGTATCTATTTTTGTGTATTTACGTGTAATGAAAGAAATATATGTGCACGACATCACTATGTATTCGATGCAAACATTTATATGTACGTCATCGACAAGAAATTTATTCGATGACATAAGTAGTGTCCATAGTTGCAGAGAGAATAGAATTGCCGGACGAGCGTTTTGTACCTCGTTGTTTGTCATCGTTTATGTTGAACTTCAGTATATTAACATTGTTTTTAATAATACCATATTTTCTTTCATATATTTACTTGAAAGAAATGAATGATTATGTTGATGTGTTTATGGACCTTTTTCATGTTTCTTCTGAATTTGATTTAACTGGTAAGCTTATTTATCAATGTTTTCTTTTTGTTTTTTGTTTTGTATTAAACAATAAAGAAATCTTTTCATTGAATCTATCTATGTTAATTATGAATATGTGACTTGATTTCATAAGAAAAGAAAAAACTTCATCATATATTAGCGTTTGTAATTGTAAGAATTCATTGATTATTGTTTGAATGATTTTGATAATCATTAACGTCTGTCTTTCTATTTATGTGTATATAAAAATAATCGTTTTTTCATTTCTCAAAAAAAAAAAAAACTCTGTTTTTATTCTTTTCGTCTATTTGTAAAAATCTATTTCTTAGATGATATTGTGTCGCGAAAACAGAAATCTAAATATTAACTTTTGTAAGTAGCTAGCAGATGTTTTTTATTTTCATCAATGACTATAAAGAAAATATGTAATCGATATCGTTGAGAAAAGAAATAAATAAATACAGCTGAAATTTATAAATTTATTTTCATTCGATTCAACAACTGTCTGTCGAGTTTTTTCGTATAAAATTATGTGTTTGTACCCAATGAACTAATATTTCTTTTTGATGTTTATGGTTCTATGATTTTCAAAATAGAACACAAACAAAAACAGATTATTCAGGATATATATATTATACGACGTTAAATAGATAATTTTATTCAAATGATTTTTATAATGTCGAAAACAAGACGTCATTCATGTTTACATTAATCATTCGATTTATATCATCTGGTTTTTGGAATGAATATTGTCGCTTAATGAAGATTATTCAAGACTTCCGGACATGTAAATAAGTACGAATAGACTAATAGAATAAGAAAAATTAGAAATTTCGATTAGAAGAATTTTGAATGTTGTGTAGAAAAACAAACATATTCTTTTTTTGTCTTCATATAAATAATAATGATATTAGATAGAAAAATATTTCATTGCATGATATGATTATCTTTAAAAAACAGTCTATTTTTCTCTGATAACTATAAAGATTTCCTAGGATTGTTGAAGTGTTCTAATCAATGTTGTGCAATCGACATAGTATCGAGGGGAATAAATACATTTCTGATTTTCAATGATTTCCGATAGACTCAATCAATTTAGAATAGTTTTTTTTTGTACTCACAACGAAATCGTCCGTTTGATAGTTTTATCATGTTTATTTTTCTAATCCAATTGAGAATACATTCATATTTATAAATTCACAATTTTAATTAAACAATAATTAAAAGATTTGCATCTTTAATCTGTCTTTATATGAAACATTTATGAATCAATACAAATCTGGTGACTTTGTTTTTTCGTCTTTCAAAATTTAAGTATCAGTTTTTTTTTTGTCATGATTGGATAGATTTCGTCAAGTTACCTTTATGTTTTTGTAGAAAAATTAGAAAAAACTATAAAAAAATATAGTACACCAAAAGCATAAAATCTTAATACATTCGATTTTTGCCATAGATTTAGGAAAATCAATTTGTTCGATATACTAGTAAAACATAATACATATGAAATTTGTATTCAGACGTTTTAACAATAAGAATTTTGGTTTCGATTTAAATGAATATCATACTTAGAACAAGCAGAAAAATCTTCATCAAAAATTAAACTTAATACTTGAAATAAATTTTTCTCCAATTTCAATTCTTACAATTCCTCACAATCTCACCTATCATTCTCTTATGGCAAATTTCGTTTTAAGTACGTTTCAATGAAGATTTTTCTGCTGACTCTAAATATGATATTCATTTCATTTAGAATCGAAGTCCTGATCATCGAAATTTATTTTCTCAAAGCATCTATAATAAAAATATGCGAGCCCAGGACTATACCAGATTTACCAAGATTATGACTAGAGCTAAAAAACTTAGTCCCATACATCACTAATCCGTAATCTTTTTTTCCTAATTTTACGAGGAAGAAAAAATTCAATACTAAATGCATCGCGATAAGATGCTTTTGATGTATTGTAGTTTTTATAGATTTTTTCCATCTTATTTTCCTACGAAAACATTGTTAACAGTCATTTGATGAGATGATCAATCTAATCATGTCTAAAAAAAAAAGTTTACACCTTCTTTCGTGCATAATATTGTCATTCAACGACATAACTTATTATTATCTTTCAATCAATATTGATTATTCGAATGGATAGACGTCTTCTATATCTTTAATTGAATATGACATACGGTGTTAAAAGATATTTCTCTTTCAATCTGATACTTGCATAAACTAAAATAATACATACGTTCATTCTATATGATACAAAAGTTTAGTAGCAAAAATCGTTAGTATATAAATTCCACTCTATTCAACCACAAAATTTTTTATATGATAAAACTAAATTGGAAATAATAATCGACATATCATGCTCGAAAATAAAACTCACTTGATAATTGACTTCATTTTTTTCTCACACAATATTATTCAATGAGTTTAACTTCCTCTTATAAATCATAAATATATGGGTGTGAATATGCAAAAACAAAACAAAAGAAAAAGAGAGCAATGCGAGAATTCGATTTGTTTACATAATGTTTTGACATTCAGCATCATTTTTTTTTTTCGTTTTATTTTATCACAATACATTGATTGAATAATTTTTAAATTGACTAATGTAACATTTCTTTTTTTTTCCACTTGTTTTGAGTGGACGCAGAAAACAATTATGTGTATAAAAGCATCATCAACAACATTCATATGTTATGACGTAAACACATCTAACAATTTGTTGTTCAATTTTATATTCATATAAAATTATTCGAAATTTAAGAAATCATTGCAATTTATTATTATCGCTATTGTAATCTAAGCTTCATTAACTTCTTTTTCTCCTTATTTAATCGCTTATATTTAAATCTGATAAGTTTATTCTATGATTTCTTACATAAGAACGAACGTGTTATCTTCTACATAGTTTGTAGAAAATATTGATTAATGTACTACGCCTTTCTTAGTATCTCAATGTTATTTATCTATTCATTGTCGATGCAGAAAAGGTCGTCAATCTATTTGTTCATCATCTAGAAGAAGAAGAGGAAGAATATGAGCAATACTTATTTCCATAGACTACGATAATAATAACAAAAAAACATGCTTTTCGATTATGTCTGGGTATGGTCAATTAAAGACATTGAGTATTAACGGTCATGCTTTTTTTCATATTATAAACACTGATATCCATTCAATCATTTTGAATTTATCTATAAAATTTATTCTTCTTTTTCTTTTTTTTTTCGTTTCTCTCTCGCGCGATATAGATTCGTTCAAAAGGAGAGAAAAAAGCGGGCACCCTGCTGTCTATGTATCTCTATCAAAACATATGTATGTATGCAAAAGGCAGAGAAAGACAGAGAGAGAGAGAGAGAGACAGAAGAGAAAAAGTCGTTTCTTATTTATATATATGTATTGAGAAATAGGAGCACAGTAAAGTAGTAATCAGATCGATTTAACGGTCATGAATTTAAGTATTAGTGATAATAAAAAATTATCGTTATGGAATTTTATTTCTTTCGAACCACTTTGTGTTATTATATCTAATATATTTATCATGCGTCCAATACGATTTTTATTAAATTATTATATTAAACCAGCAAAATTTTTAGTCATAATACTTTCAAGAAACATTTGGAACAAAGGTAATTTAAAATATATATATATATATATATGTATGTGCACCAGTTGTTTAAAATTAAAAAATGATGAATGTAACATATGTCACAAATCTTTTTTTTTTTGTATACTTATCGAGTAGAATTATTCGAGTGTAGGTATTTAAAAAGTCCAACGGTTAAGTTCAAGTTTTATTTAAATGTATTTGTAATAAGAAAAAAAATTTATATCACATTCAAGGGTATTTCAAGATGAGAGGTATGTGGTTGCCTCCCGCCTCCCTTCAATCTTGTTGACCTCGGAACACCCATGAACTCATCCATAGAAAGTTAATTAGATAGTCACGAATATTTTCATTGATCACTCATCGCCGCCCGCGTTTAGCTCTTTGATTTTGTTTTCTTGTGGATATGTTAAATGGATATCATGATCATTTATCAATCGATCTTTTGTGTCATCTTCAATATATGAAAAAGAAAAAGAGCAGATGTGTGAAAACAAAAAATGATTATGAGAATTATGCAATATGAGAGAAGTATAGAACGTGACAAATGTTCATATTGATTTGGAAAATTTACGTATATTGATCGATTGTGTTTGTTTGTAGTTCGTCGAAATGAAACAATATGTTGTTTAATTGGATTTGGTATTGGTGTTGGTTGTTGTATACTTTATCGTCTTATTTCAAATTTTCTTGCTCCTTCATCGTCATCAACAGCATCAATCTCAAATAATACATTATCGTCTTTGTCAAACAATATACGTGATGTGAGTTCTAATACTTATTTTGTCCGCTTCTAATGAAGCTAAAGCATGTCTAGATATCTCTATGATATAAGGTTACTTATTAGTTACTTTTTTCTTTTTGTTTCGTTTCGATTCAATTAGGCGAAAATATCACAAATGGGTCAAGAACATTCATCATTATCTTCTAATGGAAATGAAATAACTGTAACTTATACTAAACGACCACGTTCATCAACAACATTAAAACGAAGAACACCAGATATAATTCATCCAACAATAGCTAATGATAAATGTCATTATCAAGAATATACAAATGACTCCGATCGTGAACCATTACTTGGTTTACCTATTGATAAACATCATATATCAATACCAAATAAAAATTTTCAAATAAATCAATTATCTGATGAAATGACATGGTCAGAAATGTCATCATCAATAGGTACATATGGTTTATTACAAGAATCTTATCATTCCAATTCTTTAACTGGTGATTCTGGTGTTGATTGTCATGAAATTTCAACAATTAAATCATCTCGTAATCAACCACATAATCATGATATAACAAATCCAATTATTAATAATGATTATGATGAAAATGAATTATTAATTAATGATTCAACAAATGGTACAAATACAATACTTTATTCTGAATCAAGAAAATATGATTCTGATACAGCACTTAGTCGTGGTGTTATACTTCATGATACACGTAAATTGAATTTAATGTTTGTTTTTTTCTTTTTAATTATTATTTTATTTTAGAAACAGTAACTGAATCTCATGTTAGATCTTTTATGTCAACAGAAAAAGGTTTAGAACGTGCATTAGAACAGACAAGTCGTTTTTATTCAGATTTAGAACATATTGCAACTGATTTAAATACATTAACAAAAAAATATTCGAAATCACAAACATCAGTATCACCATCAGTATCAAAATATTATAATCGACCTATACATAATACAATTAATGCACTTGATTGGGATTGGAATGATGTTCATTCTTCACCATTAATACAATCACCAAAAAATCGTTCTAAAAAACTATATCAACATTATTCATCGTCATCATTATCTCGTTTAAATAATAATAATAATAATAATAATAATAATAATAATAATAATAATAATAAATGTAAAGTACGAAGACGATTAAATAATATTAATAAACAAACAGATTATAATGAATCAGATCTTGAAATACGTACGTCTATTTCATATGATTGTACAAGTTCACCATTAAGACGAAGTAAGAAAAAAAAAACAAGAATTTCAATAAACAATTATTTTTATTTTATCTAAGGACCAAGTTCAGTTTATTTTGATTCAACAGATAATACAAGTGGTGATGAAAATTTTGGAGATGAAACTCTACAAATTCCATCACCATCATCGGTGCTAACTTCATCACGAACAACAGAACATTTTTCAATTTCAAAATAAGATCTATTATTGTTTTTCTTATATAGATCTTATTTTTCGTTTCTTTCCGGTGGTGATGGTACGAAGAGCCTTATTAAAAAAAAAACTGTTCTTCGGATATTTACATGTATAAACATAACATTTTAATTGGTGATACAGTGAGATCTACCCCCCTTCTCGGTGTGTCAGATTCTGTGTATGTATTCATGACATCTTTACATTCATGTGTGTGTATAATCTCTTTTCTTGTATGTGTATGCATGTCATTTTTGTTTCGTCTTGTTTGACAAATGTCTCCTGTTGTGTATTCTATTTCTCTCTCTCTCTCTCTCTCTCTCTCTCTCTCTTTTTTTTTGCTTATTCATATCTTTGTTTTTCTTTTTTTGTTCAAATCGCATTTGACTGCTACACTCATAGATTGATGAACAATCCCTTCTATATTGAACTACGATGGTAATAATTATTGACAGACAAAAATACAAAACCTTGAGAATAAAAGTATTTAGTTTGACTTAAATGTCTGTCTATTGTGTGCTCTTTCACTATACCTCTTTTTTTTTGTTTGTTTGTTTATTTTCCTTCTTATCTTGGCCATCGGCGTATATTACATACGATATATGCACATACACTTTGAAATAAATGCAGACAACTAGATATGCTGATAGACATCTAGGTTATAATTGAAAATTTTTCTTTTGTCTTATTACAACGAATTGTTACTTAAAAAATCGTTATATTTTAAGTTGAAATAGCTGGAAGATATTTTTTTTAATACGTTTTTGTTTTATGAATTTATTCAAGTTGAACATGAAAGTTTTGAATTAAATGATTGCATGATTATAATAAAAAAAAATTGTAACGAATTTTATCTGAGTGTCGGATGGTTGTGATCAAGTGTGATTTTTACAATTTGTTTTAACTATTGAAAAATGATATTACTACACTTTTGATAATTAGAAAACAAGCCTTTATAAATTATGTAAGACTTTCGTAAGTTGATCTATGAATATTTAATTAGGCTTCTTTCTGTTGTAAATAAAATGTCTAAAAAATTTATAACCTTATTAAGTGTTTACATTATTTAAATGTTGCAGCTTAAAAGCAAAGACCTTTTATTACAATTGATGAGATCAATGAGTAAACAAAAGTTTTGTTGTTTTTTTTTTCTTGTTATATTTCTTCTCTATTCATTATATTGGTATTGTTGCCATTCATCCTGTCGATGACAATAATAAGGAAATGAATTTGTTTCATTCTCATAATAATATAGTGGACACCTTCCTATTCGGAACTTGAACATTGTTTTTTTTTACAGGCCTCATGACTAATTTAACTTCTTTTTAATGAGCATACGTGTACTTTTTTCCCCCTTGGTTCTTCTCTTCATTATTTCTGGCAAATGCACTGAAACTATTGTTCATGGTTTATTATAATTGTATATATGAGGAAAATCAATGAGATCATAACACTATCTTACATTAAATAAAAAAAAATTCAATTAATTAATGATAACAACAATGTTAATGATCAATCACAATTTAATTTAGTTTAAAAAAATCGAATATTTAAATGATTATCAAACAAACCACAATCTAAGTATTAAACAAAAATTTAAAAAACTTGACGTCATAAAACTTGATAAATATATACTTAGATGGGTTGTGCAGCAGCATTTATTAAACTCACATATATCGAGACCAAAATAATAATACAAAACTCGATGATACAAAGAAAAATTTTGTATTCTATTGAAAAGCTTTTCGATTCATAAATATTCAAATGAAGAGGAAGCTAAACAACACAAAGAATGGTCTCAGATTATTTCAAACCAAGTAAAGAAGCTTATATTCTAAAACTTTTTAATTTCATTTCGTATTAAAATATATGACATCTCTCGTAGATGAACATCTGTTAATAGTCAATACTTTTTTGGAAGCTCCATACGGTGTTCGTTCAAGAGGAGTTTTCTTGTATCTGTATGATTAATTAAATATTAGTTGTTTCATAAGACGAGGAAAAGATCTTTGGTATCAGATCAGTTTCTGTTCAAGACATATGATTATGTTTATGTATTATAAACAGTTTTTTTTTCATTTAGCAAATATTCTAAGCTAACAAGTGTAAGAGAATTATTGCTTCATTCGATTCTTTTTTTTTTGAAGTATTTCTGTCTATTTGTTCAAGTGATGAAATAAAGTTTATATGTATTTATAATGAGTAAGATATCATATTTTGATGCATCATATAGTTGAAAAAATTTGATCAGATGATTTTAAAACTCTGTAAATAATACTTAAGTTTAAATAGATAGATACAAAGAAATACAATACACAGCAAATAGAAAAAAAAATCAACAATCATTTCACACTCATATGATAAATATTCAATAAGCATACTTAGCATAAAAACATAAATTAGATTGAATATCTACAAAAAAAAATGACACTCACTTATTTAATTGTAATATATTTATAAATCAACATAAATGCATCGTGAATTGATTGATTAATTGAAAAGAATTGTGTTAGTATCGCATGATGAAAAACCTCTCCTATCGAATAGTTCATTGTTAAAAACAATAGAAACTCCATTGATGATGAGGTTCCTAAGTTTCTACTTAGTTCTATTTCTATATAATTCATATCTCTCTATTGTTGTTCTTTAATATACATAGAATGTTTGATTTTGTTCTGAAATCATTCAACAAAATGTACAAAATAGAATTCTTTTTTCAATCTATCAATGTAAATTTACTAATAGTCTCTCTATTACATTCGTTTGTGATTGAACATAGCTGAATGTTATACTAAGCAAACAAAACTCACAATATATTGAAAGATAACAAATAAGAATTTAATTAAGAAATGTTGAAATACAAGATGAAACATTGGTAATTTTATAATTTATACTCTATTATTAGTGTATTCAAATACAGTAACAAAAAAGAAACATATGTTCAAACATGACAAAGAAATGATCAATAACTATGACGTGGATTAATAAATTGTTTTTCATGGAAATTTACCTTGCAACTTCTTTCTCTCGAGATTATTATTCATTAAGTATTAACAACCACGACACTAAGTCTTACTCATATTTATATTTCTTATTATTTATAACAGAAATCATATTATAGAAAAAAAAAGTATTTCTACGTCATGTAGAACAGTCTATTATTCACTAGAGTCGATACATATATTATTATTGAAAATAATATTTAAAGTGTAACAATATATTCAAAACATTCTGTTGATCAACTTACATACAGTAGCGCTCAAAATTGATCATACAGTTAACCAATCAGTTTGTCTTTTCTAACATCTCAAGATGGTTTCTACCGGTTGAATTGTGGTTTTCACCAAATTGTAGTCAATTTTTTTTATAATTTATTTGCTCAAAATATCAGATGTTTTATGTCATGTATTTACTCTGTCAAATTAGAAATCTTAAAAGTCATGCCCTTCAAGTTTGCTACAAAATTAATCATACAGCCCACGCAAACACACAAGGATATAGAATGAGTAAATATTTCGTATTTTATCCCTTTGTCTGAGAAGTTGCATTTTTTACAATGAAGTGAAACCTCGTTAAAGCACATTTAAAAATGTGTTTTCTCCTTGAAAAAGATCAAATGTGAAGTACAATATTCAATCATTTTGTATGTGACGTATAATCAATTTTATAACGACATCGAAGGACATCATTTTTAGCATTTCTAATCGAGTAATAATAAATACATGGCACAGACAACTGATATTTCGAGTCGATTAATTATAAAAACGAGACTATATTTTAACGAAAATCGCATTTCAATCGTTTAGATATATGATCAATTTTAAGCACCATTATAAATTTCATACTAATTGAGACTTGCTAAAGTTAATATTTCTAATAACTATCAATAAAAAATTCAGCTAATGAACTTTTTCAAAACTTGATTAATCTTCAATTTCTATATTGTTTCAATGTTTGATATTTATTAAATGATAAAAAAGTATTTCATGACATATTATCCGATATGATAACGACCATCATAGGACTTCCTTTTTCTTTTGTTCTTGATCATAACATTCAAGGATTATGTAAAATGACAAGATTGAAATTCATTTTGTTCGTATAGACAAGAATAACCTTCTATGTCAATAGAAACAACAAGACAAGGTAAATTGAAAAGAATTTAGAAACATATCATACTAGATGAAAAAAAAATCCTTCACAAATACAACATATAATTATTTGATATAAATCAAAAGTAGACAAAGAAATTTTTTTGTAGTTTTGTCCATCAGATAGGACGTTCTGTATTTATCATTTAGAAAAAAAAAAACCTACAGATGTAAATCTTAAAATACAAAGAAAAATGTCACGCATAATGCTATCACAAGAGTCAATAGACAATGGAAATTTTGTCTTTTTTCCTATTACTCTCTCTTTCTCTCTGCCTCTCGATGTGCACATACATATAAGTAACCTAAAAGAACTCAACAACAATAATAAAAATGTGGCTGAGTCTTTACTTGATTGAAATATCTATTGCATATTTCGTTTAATTATACTATGCAAAAAGTTCTATTGAATAAGAATTATCAATCGTCATCATCGTTATTATTTGACTTTGGAATGAATCTTAGAAGTAATGCAGCATCAACATTTATTGAACAATGTGGACATGTTAAACTTTTTTCAAACCAATTATCTATACATGTTGGATGAAATACATGTTCACCATCGCATGGTAATTGTCGTACTTGTTCATTAGGCATAAAATCCATTAAACAAATATCACATCTAGAGAACAAAACAAAAAGAATAAATCAGATATTTGTTTCATTGAAAATGATTGGCTTTTTTTGTGTTTGATAATTACTCTGTTTGTTTTATTGTTTTTTCATCATAACTAATTAATGGTAAATGTTCAACAAGATTTCGACATTGTGCTGCTTTTATAGTATTGAGATCAGCCGATGAACGATTTAATATAACTAACTAAAATCGATTGAAATATGATTTAGGTCGAATAT